AGTTGCAGCGACAGTTGTTTGGCTGTCGTGCGCAGGCACAAAAGTCCAAGTTAAGAAGCTGCACGTAATGTAGAGAGGGCACTGTTGCAAACACAGTGCCAATCCTGGTTGTTTTAACTCTTTTTTTTGCCCAACGCCAGAAAAAAAAGGATATTTTTAAAAAAAAATGAATGGATCAAGCTTGAACTGCGACAGGCTATTAGTAAGTTCAAAACATTTGATTCTTGTTGTTGTTTAGGATTTCATCAAGTTTGTGTATTATATTTTCTTTGTACATGATGTATTCTTTTAGAAAGTATTAAACAGACTAAATTTTTCTTTCTTCCTGAAACAGCATCATCATGTAGTAGGTCCATTGCAGAATGTCGTTCTCATCACCGTCTGCCTGAAAGAAACGGTCTATCGCCAGCTCTCACGCCTCATGTACTTTCATATTCAAGGAGTCACTTATACTCTGTGCTCATCTTCGTGTTACTTGGCCCTGGCTCTTCTTCCTGGTACTAAGCAATCTGCTATTATTTTTTCCAATCCACCACAGGACTTGACCAAAATATTTCATCTTCCGAGATCTGATGCTGTTTATTATTGAAATCACTACCCCCAAAATATTTTCTGCAGCAGATCAAGAGGAAACATACTAACATTCTACAAGATCTGGACATTAAAGAAAACAGTTTAATTAACAGCTTTATATGTTGAAAGTGAAACATGTTATCCATATTAAATGTTACAGTGGCTTATTGGCAATGAATATTAATCGAAATCATGATTCTTGGAAAAGTAGGCCGAAGTTGACCAGCATGAAGATGGACATTACATATATCTAAGGCATGAATTTGAAAAACAGACAGCTGGCAATCAAGTGTCTTCCCCGAGGACCAAGACGGGAGCAGATCTCTGAGAAAGACCTGCAACACGATGTTTGTCACATTTGACCCTGTCGGTACTAACTCACCATGCCATTACTGATTTCTGTTCGCATGATATACGTTTGTTGCCTCCTTATGCCTATACAGTTGCTATATTAACTTACTCTCTCAATTACATCCACTTTTCAAAATCAATGAATCTTTGGAACTAAAAACACAAAATCCACTACACTTTCAAACCGTCTGTTTCACCAAGGTAACCGCAAGGTGAAGAGCATGTCCTTTTGTCTGCATAATTTTGGTTTAAACCGGCTGAAAACAGACACTTCCGCAATCTAAGTACTCTACGGTTGGCCAAACTGTAAATAATTTGAAATGCATCACTCTTGCCTACAGTGTGCACAAAATTCACAATATGGCATGCAACTGCCAATGATGGATTTTGTCAACCAGTCACCTAGTTCATTGTTGTTGAGTTGTTAGTGTTTTGCATTGCTTTTACCACCCATTCTTCTTCTTCTTCTTCACTTCCTCTTTTACCGCTGTGGGTGTTGAGGGAGATATAAGGTTCTGTTTCTGGCTCTTCTGGCCGCCTTGACCATAGGCACATCGTGCTGTTGTAGAGCTTCTCTGATGTTATCCTTCCATCTTGTTCTTGGTCTACCTCTTGCTCTACGACCTTCTTCTCTTTCCATGTATGCTTTGTATGGTATGGTGTCACAAGGCATTCTCTCCCATTAGTGGATGGAATATGTTCAGCAACCGGTTTCTCCAGTCATCGATCAGTTCTGCCCACATGCGCAGCGTTAACTAACTTTGTGTTTATTGATAAACGAACATTGTATAAATATCTAAACTATTTCTATTCTAATTTTATGTTACATTTGATCTACAATACTCAATTGTTAATTGTTCATCTTGTCTTATAGTTGTATTCGCATTACACATTTATACTTGGTGATTGTTACACTAAAATCCAGCAACCCTAGGATAAGACATGCTGAATTATTAACAGTTTGGGCCTGAAAGAGTTGAGTTATTGTGTCACACTTTTCCGGGACTGAAAGAGTTTAAACCACCAGAAAAAAAAAACACCTGGCTAGACTTATATCAACATCATTTTGACCATCTTTATTTCCTAGCAAACAGCTTAGACTAGGTTAATCTGGAGGCCAAGATTTTTTATCACATATTCACTTCCTTGTGGATATAAGTCCAAGACTCCTCATGTGGATTCTGAGCATCCATTGTGTGGGTGGGGAAGGATAGACCCATTGCCAAACTAACGAGCATGTTGTAATAGTAGAATAATTAGGGTTTAATTAAACTCCTTCGAAGTCAGAATACATCTGCCTGAGGGATGAGAAACCTAGTCTGCATACAAATAAGGCAGAACAATTCTGGGTGTTCGTCCACCTCCAGACTTTAGTCCTGTTCTCGAACCTGAGTGGTACGTGCCATCTGATTCCCACAACTGGGTTATTTGTAGGCACACTCTTGGTTCCTCGTTTCTCAGGCTGCACTCTTGACTTGGAAGTATGTCCCTAATTAGTCCACTCCTATGACATGCTTATTGGGGAGGCTGTGGGTCTATTATTTTCCCCAAAATGGAGCCCTGGAACCCACAAGGGGAAAACACTTTGGTCAGCAGGCATGTGGCACCATAACTTTCCCAGTAACTATGTTTTCCAGCAATCTACATGTTGTGTCTGTCTGAAGCCTGGGGAATTCTGCATTTTTTAAAACGAAGAACATCTTGTGCAATACATCCTTGTCATTGAGAGTTAGAAAAAGAATTCTTGCTTGCTTCATACATCCAGTTTTAACATATGGCTGTGAAACCTGGACAATTGGAAGGCAGGCTAAACAATTTATTGATGCCTCAGAGATGTGGTTTTACAGAAGAATGCTAAGAATACATTGAACAGCCAAAAAGAGTAACCAAGAGGTTTTGAAAGAGGCGGGAGCCCGAAGACAACTTATCACAGACATCATTTTTCGGCCATGTTATGAGAAGAGGGAAAATGTGACCACTGGAAAGATCTGTGGAAGGAGGGATAGAGGAAGACAATGAGAGAAGATTCTTGACAGTCTTGTTGCATGGGATGGAGGTGTGTTGGCACACGAACTGATACATGCTGCAGGAGATCGTAGATTAGGGAGAGGCATGATCGCCCATGCCAGTCGGCAAGGCACAAGATGATGATGATAACATTGCTATGAGCATAGCATGCTTTACAAATAAAATATAATTGCTGTGTCTTCTTCACTGTAAACTCCAGCAGACATTTCTGCTTGTTCATCCACTTCTGAACTTTGGTCTCTTTCCAGAACTTGAGTTAATTTTCAGTGCACATCTGTTTTACAAATCTGGATTTGTATGCAGACTGTTGGTCCCTACCCTCTCAGGCAGATACTCTCTAGCTTTAAAGAAAATAGCCCTAATTGTGATCTTTTATGATGTACTTATTAAGATTGATAGGTCTTGTTTCCCTCAAAATGGGACACTAAAACACACATTGGGAAATTGCCAGGTAAAATATGAGTGGAAGGCCAGGAGGTGTAATGGGAAAAAGTCACTAATTTGTGATCATTAAAGAACAACAATTGTTCATTCATTTGTTCCACTACCTACCCCTAATTTCATTGCTACTCTGGTGAGTAATACAATAAAAAAACATACTGACAATATTTCTGTGCAAAAGGGGTGTTCTGAAACAGTGATTGTAAACCATGCTAATGTGAAAGTCAATTAATTCAATCTTCAGGTGTGTTGCAGCCTTTAGAAAGGGGACTTAAGTGTGCAACATTAGGTTATCAGAATCAGATCCTAAGTTACCCTTGCACTCCAGTAAATATGAGGTATAACTGTGAGCTGAAACAGCAAGCAAACATAGATATACCGCAGCTAAAAATGAATCCAGGAGGAGTGGCTAGCCGAGCAGTTACAACTTCTGGCTCTCAAACGGGAGTTTGACCCCGGGTAAGGCAATGGATAAGGGCAAAATTAAACATCCTAACCTGCACAGTCCGTAGCGACACCACTAGCCAGGCGGCGCTAAATCCTCAGGCTCAAGGCCTTCAATGTCAACACAGCCCCTTAAAGTGGTAAAACAGACAGCAGCAACAGTTCAGAACTGAATCCAGTACAGGCTCAGACTATCATAATCCTCTTCTTTAGTCTCATCAGTGTTCGTTTTAGCATTTTACTTCTATGTCCTCATTTCTTCTGTCCATTCATCTCATAATGTGCCCAGTACAGCGCACTCTTCTTTATCTTGAACTGTTGCTACCGTGGTTGTCCAGACATTTGTCTTATTTCTACACCTTTCTTGAATTCTTCAGATTTAATGTCCATCAGTTCACTTAGGCATTTTTCAAAATACATTTAACTTTCCTTCTCTGTCTTTAGTGGTTTTCCGGCTTTCACTGCCATAGGCTGATACAGAAATAACATAAGAATAGAAAATAATTTAGTTTTAAAACTACATAATTGAGAGCATCATGTTTTGTTCACGCTTTTACTAGTTCTGTTGCACTGACGATGTGCACTGTAATTTGTTTCGGTGTGTTTCCTTAACTTCAAAAGTAGTACCTTAAAATATGAAATTTCATTTTCTCTCTCTCTCTCTCACACACACAGATAAAACATATACATACATAAAACTAGTCACAATCTTCTGAAAATATGTACCAAATGGTAAATAAATTGACTGAAACTTTAGAAAAAAAAAAAACACACAAGACAAATCCATGATATTAACATTTAATAATGTCAGAATTTTGAGGCACATCAAGTGTTTTTTTGATATACTAAAACAAACACAAAACATTAAAGAACAAACACAGAACAGTATCACTGTGCATTCAGAGGGCAATACACGCCATCCGCTGCATAGTCACATTAATTTATAACACAAAATGTTTCCAATTACAAAAATGAAAATGGTAGTTTAAAATGTTAAAAACTGTACCAACTTATGCAGATTCATTCAATCTTTGGTGTTCTTCAATGATCTAATGATGACAGGGCATCTGATAAATGACATAAGACATTTTAGACAGGTAAGCCTTTCCTTGAGCAGTAACACTAAATGAAACATGACGATGAGATATGACATGGATAACCTGTTATTCCTTAGCATCATCTTTCTCTACAGTAAATGGCTCTGTCACTTCTAGAACACCACAGTCTGCAATAACGACATCATCCTTGGGTTTATCTCTGCCGTCTGTCTGCACTGATTCAATTTTTCGCACAACCCTCTGAAAGAGAAAGTACACACCATGTAATGCCAGTAAACACTTTTTTCTTAGCTTAAAAACACAATTTGATGTTCTTTTCATACTGCACATGTAACCATGCACATCTCATTAGGACGATGTTGCAATTGTGTCACATCACACGTGAATGTCATTTGTTTGCATGGTGTGCTTTGTTTCATGGTGTTTTTGTCTTGGCCATTATAAAAGAGTCTCATTATTTAATTGTTGGAGGGCGTATGTATACAAAACAAATGCTCCAGCACTGCTCATTCTTATAACTACCACATGGACAGTTCTGCTTTAATTTTCCCCATGTATGTTCTAGGGCTTCATTCTGGGGGAAAAAAGTACAGATTCCCTGCCCACCTAACAAACATGTCATGCGTGGTGACTAATTAGGGGAGATTTTTTTAGTAAGAGTGCATCTGTCTGGAAGTTGAGGAACCAACAGTCTGCATACAAATAAGCAAGATCTGTAAAACAGATGCGCATGCAAAACTCAATTTCTGGAATAAGTTCAAAGTTCAGAAGTGTCTACCAAAGTTTACAGTTGATGTACATGAACAAGACGAAGAATTTGACATTTCTGACAACAGTTTGTGTGCTTCTATCTCAGATACACAAACAAATCCACACAAATGTAAAAGCATAATTTACCTTTGCTGTATAAAAGAGGGGAAAATATAAAAAATAAGCATTCTGGATACAGTGGTGTCTGCTGTAATTTATACTGTTCTAACAAAGCCCATTTATGCAGTCTATATATAAGCATCATCCCTTGCTTATCACTCATATATTACAATCTCTGCGCAGAAGACAAACTGCCTTAAATTATGAATACAGCAATGGTTTGTGCATCTGAAGTGTAGACAATAAGACATGCTCCTGACAAGCTTAAGTGAAATATGCCAGATAATAAATTGTGTGATATTTTGTGTGTCTCCTTTGTCAAACATGTATTAGTCTGAAATAAATGTATATGCATTTCAGCAAATAAGAATCTGTATAAAAATACTAACACAGATGTATACAGACATCTAAGGATGTTAATTTTTCTTCTTCCCAACAGTGAATATTATGTCACTTTGGGGAAGCAAAGAATAATAATACTGAACTCCTAACTAAATACTAGGGCTACAAAGGAAAGGTTGGTCTTGAGATATGTAACCCAATCCCATAAAAAAAAAATCAAGTTAGTTGGGAGTATATGCTCTATTGCAGGGCTATTCAACTGGGAACCCGAAGCTAAATCTGGCCCATGGAGGCCTAGCAAGTCGCCAGCGGATCAATGCCAGTTGTATTAATGAACTTTCTATCTAGAAGATTGGTCCTCTTGCCCTCTATTAACATTTGGACCCCTGAGTAAAGATAGTTGCATAGCACTGCTCTACTGAAAGATAAATGAAAGAAGAAGCTACTATTTTCTGATGAAAAATAAATATTTAAAAAAAAAAAATTTTTTTTAGATGTGAATCTGCAAAAACAGGAGTCGCTGTGGCCGAGTGGCTAGACACTCAGCCGCGGATCGGAAGGTCGTGGGTTCGCTCTCTGGAGGAGTCGCCTTTTTAAAAAAATGATCTTGGCTCTCAGGTCGACCCAACCTTGAGTGGGTACCGGGTGCAGTCCCGGGAAGTAAAGGTGGCCGGCGTGATGCTGACCACATTACCCATCTTGTGCCGATTGGTCTATAAAAATAAAGGTCTAGCCCTAAATGCCCTATACGTCTAATGGCGTGGAAAAGGGTACTTTACTTTTACTTTACTTACTGCAAAAACTTGATATGAGAAACACAGAAGTAGGATTTCATAACAACTGTAGTTTGTGAAACAATACACCGAATCTGAACTATCCCAATCAGGATCCTGTTAATTACTCATAGGCACTGAAAACGCACTTCATAATGCTGGGTTCGACCCCAGCTTTCTTGTGTTGGTTTCAACAGTGGTATCAAGGACTGACCATTCAGTAACACGGTAAACTACTGAATGTAAATTCGCCTATGAAAACCACAACAGCCACACACAAAATTGCTCAGGTTAGTTCTGCAGTATCCTGTAAAGGACACACAACTAACTTGTATATTTTTCAAAAGATACTTTGTTTTTATTGCGCACAATAAAATTCTGCTCTTATTGTCACATACAAGCATTTACTACACACAATAAACTTTCTTGCTAGATATTTACAACAAGACAAGAAGTTTAGTATGTTGTGAACCAGCATCTGGCACTCTATTTTAGTGGCTGTAGTGTCAAGAGATAAACTTAATCTTTAGACAACTGATGAAACCTGAAGTAATGCAGGTTTGCAGAATTTTTAGTCCACTACATATCAGGTTGAATGGTACTTTTCTGAATCAAGTTGAAGAATTTTAATATCCAGGAAGAATAATCTCGGAGGGCATAGGAATAATCACGAAAAAGAAACAAGATGCCAATGAGCCAGTGCACATATGCCAATGAGCCAGTGCACATATACCAGCTGACACTGTTAAGACTTTCAAACATAAGTATGAGCGCTAAGGAACAGATTATAAACAGCATATTCACACCAACACTGTGCTACCAGTGCTAGACTTGGACATTATCACAGGCTAACCTACATAAAATTAACACCTGTGAAATGAGATGCTTAAGAAAAGCTGCCAATTCAACTATCTAAGACAAAGTTAGAAATGATATTATGAGAAAGACTGTAGGAACAACACCATGCAGCAGATTCACTGAGAAACAGAAAATCAAATGGTTTGGTCATCTAGTAAGATTGCAGCCAGAACAACTACCAACGCAGGTACTACACATGAAAGCAAGAGGCAACCTTAGGAGAAGATGGATTGATGAGAATAAAGAGCTTCTACATCGACAAGGAATGTTAATAGCCAATGCTGTCCATCAAGCAATGGATCGCAAAATGTTCCTCCCCACAACTCCTAATGGCAGAAGTGGAAATTGATGATGATGATTATTATAAGTAATCAGCATACTGTACAGATTACAAAAACAAATGTACAGCTAAGTGTTTCTACAGCATTAAAAAAAAGTAAAACCACTTTCACAACATACTGTTGAAAATAATCTCATATCAGTAATAAACTTATTCTATATTTCACCATTACATGAAACAAGATCCTTATTTATGATTAACAGGACATGAATTTGTTTGAAAAAAAAAAAAAAAAAACTTTGGCATACAGAGGATATGAAGAATTGTTCAAAATCTAGTCAAATTGTGTCCCAAAGTATCTAAGAAGAGGGAGACAACCAATAATTATGGATATAAAGGACTATTAATCATCATTACTTGCTCTTGCTATATCAGAGGTTCTCGAACTTCCTAATGCCGCGCCTCTAATACAGTTCTCATGTTGTAGTGACCCCCAACCATTAAATTATTGTCTTGCTACTTCATAAATTCATTCAACCTTCAAAGACAATCCCTAGCAACAGGTTGAGACCGCTGTACTAAGTGTTTAAAAGATTCTATTCATGCCTCGGGCCCACTAGGCATATAAGTGATAGACCCATATTTTTATGATAGACACATCATTTTATAAACTAATCAGCACTTTGTGATGTGGTTAACAACATCTCTTCATCCTGGGACATTACCTAGCACCACATTTAGGCTGGATCAATCTGGCAGCAAAGCTTCAGTTTTTGGAAAAAAATCCGTCTAATATAGATTTGAACCATACTTGGCAAATGACTGAATGCAAATTCATTTTTCGCGTTTACCAGCCGTAAACTCTAGTGGCAAATTGTGGTTGTTTGTTCACTTCTAGACTTTGGTCTTATTCCAGAACTTGATCTTTGTGTGCACATCCATTTGACAGATTGGTTTACCTGTGCAGAGTGCTGGTTCTTTGCCTCTTAGGCAGATGCACTCAGACTTCAAAGGAAACAACACTAATAAGTCACCTTTTATAACATGTTAATATTAGGCAGTGGGTCTATTCCTATTCCCCCCCCCCCCCCCCCCTACCACAAATGGGGACTTGGAACCCATATGGAATTCATTTGAAAACAAACTCTTTCTGTACTCAAAGACGAACTAGTCATAAACTATTTATAGAGCAACACATAGTGTTCCCTGGTACCAAAAGAATTAAGGAGAAAAGTCAATTTCTTACCATGCCCTTGACAACTTTTCCAAAGACTACATGACGACCATCTAGCCACTCAGTTTTCTTAACAGTAATAAAGAACTGTGATCCATTGGTGTCCTTCCCAGCATTAGCCATTGACAGCCAGCCAGCGCCATAGTGCTTCAGCTTGAAGTTTTCATCCTTAAATTTGTCTCCATAAATACTCTTGCCTGAAAAGAAATAGAGAAAGAAAACAATTCCTAACAATCTTTGTCATCTATTTTCTACTTTTTCAGCCGTCCACAGCCTTGGGGATCACTGCAGCAGACTCCCCACACAAGATGAAGGGCCCCAGTATGGTGGGAAAAAATGAATAAACTCACTTCCCTTTAAAAAAAAACATGGTATAAATGGTGATGTGAAAGTGGCGCAGTGATTTCTGTCACAGGCGTGAGGTAAAGTTAAGTCCAATGTGAAGTATATAAGGAGATACCCCGTACGTCACTCGGGCGCCAGTTCTTTACTCTTCTGGTTTTACGGAACCTCATGCAAGACTCCTGCAGCATGTCCTCGTCGTGCGCCATGGATAATGTCTCAAATGAGCATTAACAGAGCTGTCAGGGGATCTCAGAGTTGGCGGCCCCTAGAGGTGTAGTGTCCTTGTGGCTGTCATCAGCCCGCCCCCAACCGATTGGGTGAAAAAGTTTATCAAAACTCATCAGGAACATGAGTAAAGTCTGCATGCCAAATGTACAACTAAAATGACAACCCTCGGTTAAAAGTTTGTGAAGTGAAGAGAACACTGTGCTGCTGAGACGCAACCCTTGACCAAGAGATTTACCCGCAGCTCAGACGAGTAACATCTCATGTGGGTGGCCTCTCGCAGCAAAATTCTACCTATGTACATCCTGTCAACCCTCAGTGTTGTCGTCATCGTGCTGAGGTACACCATGACAGCAACAGTTCATCGGCTGGCTAAGCCCAATTGTCTGACAAAAATAGATCCTACGGCACACAAGCAAGCTCAAAATCGACCATCATAAATCATATTAATTGGGAAAAAGTCAAAATGTCCACATCCAGAGACCCCACTAACCCGAGTGTTGGGACCAAACAGATAAAGACACGCCTGATACAGGATTCTCCATTCTGTCCTACTAATGGCATGTTAAAGACGTCAAACATGCGACGAAAAAGAATACCAATTTGTGTGGTCACAAAAGTCCAGAAGCAGCGGGCTACTCCCTGCTGATCTCTGGAGGGCGCCGCCCATGTAGAGCGGTTGTGAGGTTAAGCAGTCATGTGCAGGACATGATGATTCCTTGGGTGAGCCCAGAACCAGAGCATGTGTCCGCTCTGCATTTATGGAAGCCCCCTTGGATGGTGGGAAATGCCCATGATCTGCTCCTGCCTTCCCTTGAGGGCTAACCGTTACACAAAGGGCTGCCCCAAAGGGGATACTCCGGGGGCAACACCTGTAGAGAAAGGGTCAAAGAGGACACCACAAAAATCAGGCAACATCTCGACCCACACAAAACAATGGCCAGCTATCCTAGAAATAGGCCTGACGCCTTCCCTCGAAGTCGGAGTACATCTGCCTGTGAGGCAATGAACAGCAAAAGTCAGTCAAACGGTTGTATATGCAAAACTCAGGTCCAAGTAAAAGCCAAAAGTCCAAGCAGACGATTAACCAGGACCTTCTGCCGGAATACATAGCTGGTGAATGAAAAAGAAAAAGAAGAAGAAGGTGACATGAAAGCTTTGCTGAAATCAGATGGGTTGAGTCAAAAGTGCAGATCTGGAAGAATGGCTGTAAACCACGACATAACATGCATATCTCCTTTAAAGGGTGAATTAAGAATAATAAGAAGCAAGATACTAAGGAGACAGAACCAGACTAAGGATGACCCAGGAGGAAACATCAGGAGGATAAGGTTTAAAAAGTACATCTTAGGACAAAGGCAGGTAAGAAAGGGACACAAAGCAAGAGAGCTGGCGTAAACACCACAATCTCAGCCACAAAAGTGGCACAAAATAAACCAGACCATAAATATTATCGAAGACTTGAAGTTTGAACTTTGAGTTTGAGCTTCAGCTGCAAACAGCAGATTGAACGTGGTCAAGTTTGTTCTTCCAGGACAGATAGACAGAGGAAGAAGAAGAATTTCTGCACTTGTCTTACGCGCAATAAACAGTCACAATTATAACCAGAAGCTCCTTGTTTGGAAGAAGCTGGCTGAATGTGAAAAAATTTTGTTTTGTTTTCTCAAAAAACATAATGATGATGATGCATATGTCCAATATAGTTATAGGTGTGAAATGGGTTCCTCACACCTATTTGTTTACAACTAATTCATAAACAAATATGTAGTGGTCAATCTAAGTGATCTTTCACTGTCACCATCTTTGCCCTGTTGTGCCTTTATATGTCCCATTAGCCTCACAGTGTATTCCTTCATTCTGTTCTATCATGTGCTATCACTTCAATATTATGGATCAAATTCAATCCTCTGGCTTCTCTCATCAACATTGTTTTAGATTTCTTCCTCAATACATTTTGTGTGTGTGTGCCATTTTAGTGCCTGTGTGGTGATTTCTCTGCTAGGTTTGTCTTGTAACAGTTGTTACCAGTGGTTGCACAGACATTTCTCTTATTTCTAAGTGATCTTTACTTCAGAATTTCTATGAAATGCAATAATTATGGTTGTTGTTTGAGTCTGTCATACTTATGGCATTGTAGTGCTGGGGTTTCTGTGGACTGCCTACCTCCACGGGTAGCAGCCAAAAGTGCACTGAACCATTTCTAAAGGAAATAGGATTTGACACATATTTAAGGTGGGGCTCACACTGTTTATTCCCCGTCACCAGGTTGCCTGCTGGTTTTTGTGAGTTCTTCAAAGAAAGCTCCCAATCAGTTGACTCTTACAACATGCTTTTGTGTAGGCAGTGATTCTATTCTTGTTTTCCCTATAATAGGGTCCCGGAACACATACAGGGGCTATCAAGTGCCGACTGGTCTATAAATATATGCAGCGAGCACTATATGCCAAATGGCATGTAAAAGATTCTTTATTTTTTCAAATAGATTAATACAATGATTTTAAAGAAACTGTACCTCCAGTGCCATCTCCTCTAGTAAAATCACCACCCTGAAGCATGAAGTCTTTAATAACTCGGTGAAACTTGCTGCCTTTATATGTTAATGGAGTTCCTTCATCCTAGACAAGATGGGAGTATGGGGAGCAGGACAAGAGAGAAGCAAACTTGAAGTTTCTGCCAAATACTGACAGTGTCCACAGCAACAACAACAAACAAATTAATAGTCTGAATTAACCTGAATAATGAAATAGTACTAGTGGTACTTTTGAGTAAAATATAGACATGTGAGGGACAGAGATATATAGACAGACAGACATATAGACAGACCTAGAAAGTTGGAGGGAAAGAGAAGCACAGATGACACTTCAGTATTTTTTAGAAAATGTTTAAAAAAATTAAATCTGCAATACAATTTTACAGGATATATTTGAGACTAAATTGAGTAAATTTATTAGTAGCGTTCATTTGAAACCTGTTCATGCAGTACAGCATGTGCACTTCTTCTTCTTCTGCTTTCGACATCAGTCATGCTAAACATTGGGTCCCGTCTGGGTCACAAATAGGATTGTGCGTTTAAGGTCGCCACCGGTCCCCCATAGCTTCTCTCGCAATGTGGCAAGATCCACAGTCTTTGCTGGCAGAGGTAAGGGCAGTACGTACTCAGGGGTCTGTCTTTCTGCCCCGCAATCACAGGCAGCAGATTCTTTTATGCCTATCCTGTACAGGTGTGCTCGAAGACCAGTGTCCATCCGAAGTCTAAAAATTGATGTTTGTTCTTTCCTGTTGAGTTTGTTTATGCTGTCACCCTCTGGTCTGTAATCTCCATTCTGTCTTCTCCACTCCCGCTTGAAAGACTGCTTTAGCGCTGTTTTGGTTTCCTTGTAGCTGTGTGGTAGATGAGGTTGTGGAAGGTTACTCCCAGCTTTTGCCAAATCATCTGCTCTCTCATTTCCTTGAATACCCCAGTGGGCTGGTATCCACTGCAAGACCAGTTCTGCTTACTTGGAGAGTATGCCAATGTTGGTCCTCAGATCTGCAATTAGTTTGTCTTGTTTTTTGCTTGATAGTGCTTGGAGAACAGACAATGAGTCACTAAGTATAACAATTGTGTGCCCTCTGTGTTCTTGAGTGATGTGCATGTGCACTAAACATGATCATCTTATAGTTGTGTGATAAGTATTGACCACCAAATAAAAAGGCATATGTTTATCATCCCATGATGCACAGGTTACATTTCTGACAGGTGAGAAAATGGCTAGTTGATTAAAAAATCCGCCAAGGAACTCAAAGAGTGGTTACTCAGTTTCTTTCGTTTGAAGGATGTCAACCGGTGGATATTCAGACAAGCATGCAGAAAGCATACGGTAGAAGGTTTAAGTCAAAGACAACAGTGACAGACCGGGCTTGAATGTTTGGGAGAGGATGTGAGTTCACAACAGGTCTATCCCAGCCGGGTCCAGCATATATTGCTGCAACAGACAAAAACATTGCCAAAACTGATTAAGCAATAGAGGTGAACCGTTGTCAAAGAAAACATAAGCTAGCAAAAGAATTCAGTGTGTCAACTGGGACAGTTTAAAAGATTTTTCATAAGAAACTACAATACTGGAAAGTGTTTACAGTGGGTAGCATGGATTTCACACAGATGCAGAAGTAATAAACATGGTAAACACTTGGTTCAGTGAAAAATTACAATCCTTTTGTGCAGACTGAATTCACTGCCTATCTAAGCAATGGTTTGCTTGCTCAGGCAAGCAGAGTGACATTTCTGACCAACCCAGGGTGTATAATTCATTCAAAATGAATGCACTGTTTAATTCTGGCACACTTGATGTTTCTGTCATGTTTTGTAATAAAAGCCTTTGGATCGAGCTGCAAATGAATGATCCATATATTACACAAAGAATTTTAAATTCAGCAAGCAACAGGCAAAAATAAAAACAATCAGAATGATTCTCTAAATTAGTATTTCTTACATTATGATCGCCAACACATAAGCTCTTGAAATTTGCTACTGTTTTTGGAACAGTTTTTCCAAACAAGGCAATCTCTATTCTTCCTGCTTCTTTTCCTCCTATTGTTATGTCAAAATATACCTAATGGAAAAACAAAATTATAAATTAATGCAAATCTATACAACTTCTGATCTTACTCAGTATGAAGAAGCAATATATAAATAGTTTCATTACACCATATTAGAGAACAACTCAGATTTTCATCAGGATAGATCACTATTTATGATTGTAAAAACATTCCAGATTTAACCTGAATTTAAAAGGTGCTTTCAACAGATTTTAAAATATAATTAACAATTTTTTTTGCTATCTCATCAATAAAAATTATGATAAACTTTCAGTAAGAAATTTGATAAATGGACCAATACACTGATCTAAACATTTGACTAATAAATAAGTAAATTAACTCTTTGAGTCCCAGAGGGTTTAGCATCACAGGCCCAGGGGGTAGTAAAGAAAGTAATAAAATCGGCGCATCATGCGTTTTTTGGGCTTCTAGGTAGGAACCTATGAACGTATGATGCGTTCCTTGGGAATCAAAGAGTTAAGGACCCTTTCCACACAAGTGACACATCTGGCATATGACGCTAGATGCTATTATTTAGACCAATCAGCATTTGGTGGGTGATGTGGTCAATGTCACGTCAGCCTCCTTCACTTCCTTGGACTTTGCCTGGTACCCATTTTAGGTGAGGCCAGTCTGTGAGCCAAGTTTATTTGTTAATAGTCCGGCCGGATGCCGATTCGGGCAAGCATCTAACCACTTTGCCACAGTGGCACCTACATTCAAACAAATAATCAAGAAATCAAATGAACACCAAATGCAACAAAAATATGTGCTTGTTAGAGCTGCTTCCATCCTGACCATAAATTCTTGTAAAAAGAAACCAAAAACACTGGAAGATAACAACAGAACTAACCAGAACCTGCAGTCACCTTTCTAGTTGATAGTGTTATACTGTGCTACAAGGAGGCATAGGATTCAACCCCCCGTGATGGCGACTGTGACTAGAAAGACATGCCAATGTAAGTCTTCTCAAGAGCTCTGTTATTTGGCAGTACTGAGCTCACCATGTCATTTAAATTTCATTGCTTCATACATTGTATCTGATTTCTGAATGCCTTCTGTCCCACTTTTCTGCTTAATTACCCCTTCAAAAATGTTACTCAAATCACTAAAATATTAATCTTACATAAATGCTTCCCTTCTGCTGGTCTCATACATCCCTTTAATTCATGACTTAACGACTGTAATTAATAATTATTAACTTAAGTTTTTACTTAAGTCTTAAGTACACAAGGATTTCTTTGGGATAAGAAGACTTAAAAGTCAAGATTACTTAGCAGTCAAAGTCTAAAAAGTTCGCGAACAAAATGCTACTACTTACTGTATTTAACATAAAATTATTTGAAAAGAAAACAATTTCAATTTATCTTATTTAGTAACAAAAACAGTGTACCATGTCTGTGACTTTCGGCCCCTTGGCTTTCTCCTTCTCGCTCACCACCAACCCTGAAAGGCTCAACAACACAACAGCTGCAAATGCCAGCATCTTGAAAACTTCAAGCTGTCACCAAATAAAATGATTTCACTGCAGGGTTCAGGGACAACCACGCACAAATAACTTGACTGTAGGTCCAGAAACCACCCAAAGTTCCGGCTTCGTCTGCTGCAAGACAAGAAGACGGACGCTTCCGTTAAAAAATGCGATACAGTCTCCGGCCTGCAAACTTGGATGCTTCTCATTGGTTGAGAGGATTCTGTAGTCGGAAGTTCAACGTGTCGCTGTTTCTCTTTTTTATTGCTTTCTCACAGTAGAATGGTAACAGTTAAGCAACTACTATAGATCAAATCTTTTTTTTTTTTAAGTTAAATGGCACTAATAAAAAAAATGTTAAGTTATTTTTAGGTCCTTTTTAGGACTTTGTAAAACAACCTGAGCATTTGGCTTATAGTTTAAGTAAGTAATTTTACATTCAACAGTTTGCCAAATTATAGAATACTTTGTGGTGCCATTATCATAAAAGGGCTATACCAAATCAGGGTAGGGAGCGCAGACTCAGTACACGACCTGCTTTCACTTATGGAGGCTATGAGTTCGGTAGACTAAAACAAGATGGAGATATAAGATAAAAATAAGAAAGCGTGTGAAAACTGGAGCTCATTAAATCTCTAAAATTAAAAGCAAGCTTGCTCTAAGATGAAGCCAAAGAGACTTAACCCTCAGTGGGTTTGTGTAAAGACAGGAAACAGTCATATACAGTGGTACCCCGAGTCACGAACCTGATTCTTTCTCTGGCTCTGTTCGCAAACCAAAACAATATTTTTTTCCATTGAAATTAATCTAAATCTGATTGATCTGTTCGCCCGCCCCAGTTAATATTTAATATGCGACAAGTGCTGAATTTAGTTATAAGTAATGTCTTACAATCTTCTTCTTCTTCTTCCTATTCTTCTTCTTCTTCTTCTTCTTCTTCTTCTTCTTCTTCTTCTTCTTCTTCTTCTTCTTCTTCTTCTTCTTCTTCTTCTTCTTCTTCTTCTTCTTCTTCTTCTTCTTCTTCTTCTTTTTCTTTTTCTTCTTCTTCTTCTTCTTCTTCTTCTTCTTCTTCTTCTTTTCTTCTTCTTCTTCTTCTTCTTCTTCTTCTTCTTCTTCTTCTTCTTCTTCTTCTTCTTCTTCTTCTTCTTCTTCTTCTTCTTCTTCTTCTTCTTCTCCTTCTTCAGCGTTCCGAGCCCTCTAGATTTATTGCTGCAGATATCACCCATCTTTACTCATCTCTTTGATATGTCTTCTCATTCCAGTTGGTGACACAAAGTGTTTGCAGGTCTGCTTTGATATTATCTCTCCGTGGTCTTCTTGGTCTGCCACGTGGTCTACGACCATTCAGCTTCCTTGAGTATACAGTTTTTACGTCTTTAACATTTGACAACATCTCAGTATGCCCAATCCATGAAAGTCTTTCAGATCTCATGATGCCTGTGATCAGTGGTAATTTAAACAGAATATGTGTTACGTTGTTGCTTCTCACTCTCCATTCCCGGCTGTTTGCATCTTTGATGGGTCCAAAAATTCATCGTAATACTATGTTTTCGAAAACGTGTAATCAAGCTTGATCTCTTGTAGCTGTGCTCCACGTTGCAGAGCTATAAACAATAAAAAATAAAAAACAACCAGCTGGTCTCATCAATGTTTCATATATTTCTATTTTGGTGTTACGAGATGGAGATTTTTACTCTAGCAGATGTTGAAGGGCATAGTATACTTTATTTCCAGATTGTTTTCCAGATTGCATTACTTCTCTCAGCATGTTGGAGCAATTGAAGTTTGCACCCAAGTACTAATATGTTTCCGTTCGTTTGATTTTCAGATTATCGACTTGTATGTGGCCAGAGTTTATATCGTTTCCATGTCTTGTTATTATCATGTATTCTGTCTTATTTGATTGATAATATCAAAACAATTCCTCTCGCCGCTTTGCTTTCTTCTAATAGTAGCCCCTCCCCCGCCCGCCCCACCCCCACCCTCCTGGCCTCTCTATCTTGTTAACTGCACTCTTTAGATCCCTTATCCGTGTGTTTTGGGTCTTTCCTTATTTCTACGCCGCTGTGAGTTTCAGCGCAAAGACATTCTAGTTTTATTGTTCTCAAGTTTTATCAGTTCTAGGTGCACTGGAACTTGTTTAATTCTCTACCAACGCTCTACGGCATCCCCCCCCTCCCACCCCCCCCCCCCAAAAAAAAAAATCACCCAGTCAATTGCTGTACCAAATAACAGCGGACATACAATTAGAAAACACGAAGTTCAGATCAGCTTTACAATAAACGACACTAATAGTCAGAAAACTGCAAGTGTTGGTCAGCTATATAAAAACAGGAGGTGTACACGAGGAATACATTTAAAAGTGATCACGTCTTCCAGGCCGACCCTGCCCTTAAAGGTTACCCAGTAGTTTTCTGCGAAATAAAGGTGGCTGACATGATGATGTTCACATCACCCACCGAATGCTGACTGATTTATTAAAATATTATTCCAGCATTGGAAAGCCTTTGTTTTGTTTTATACAATTACAATCACACATATAAATTTGACAATAGAAAAACACAGTATGAAGACCAGGTTTATAATAAGTGAAATCGCAAGGGCTGGAAAAGAAAGAAAATGTGTCAAGCTTACAAAATCAGTTACTTAAAAACAAAGGGAGTTGCCACTGCAATTTTATGCAAACGTGTGATACAACAATAATAATAATAATAATAATAATAATAATAATAATAATAATAATAATAATAATAATAATAATAAAAACAATAATAATAACAATAATAATTTTAATTATAATAATAAAAATAAAGTAAAACGAAATGGTACTAACACCATAACAAAAATAATGATAATGATAATAATAAAAGTCAATAATATTTTAAAAAGTGCTTGATGAACCCGACCTTGCTGACGACATTTTCGAAATAACCCACTCGTGAATCAGAGGCAAGATAAATTAAACATGATTAGAGATCATATTAAAAAAAAACTTAAAAGTTTAATTATATGTCAAATCAGTACCGTTGTATGGAGCGGGAACAACTAAGGCATTTATTAACAAACTACAAACAATCTGGTAATCTGGTAATCTTAGTTTCAGCATTTCAGCAAACGGGTCAGCCCATAGTTACCCAGCTCTTGTGCAAACGAAAAACATACAGAATGTTTATCACAGTCCCTTGTGGAAAGATTGACAGACTACTGTTTCAGCATATGCACTAGCATACACAAACATTAAAAGCATACGGTAGCCATCTGAAGTGCTAAAACAAACAGTCCAACATTAGAAATGCAGTTCATTATGGATGGTAACAGATCAGCAGTCGCACACGCGATCAATTTAATCACATAATGGCACCACCAATATTGCAACAACAGGCATCACACCATTTTCTGAATCTACAATTATCACCACCACTTTGGTCACGGTCGAAAAACATTCCAGATGAAATTCACAGCTCACAGTGTCACGCCATGCACTTAACTCAGAAGCTGGGCGACGAAATAATATCCTTTCCGTCTTCAAATGGAGCAAATATGCAACGGCCACCGTCTGGCAGAAGCAAATAAATTTGCCACGGCTCCAAACAGTGACCAGGCCCAACGTCAGTTTTGACAGTTTACAAACATTCAATAACTGGTGCCTGAGCAAAATAGAGGGAATTGAAAGGTATGCTAGAATCACTGATGTAGAGCTCGTGGAGATTATTAGAAAAGTTCCAGTGGACCAAGAGGTGAAGAAAAGAAACTGGCGTGTGATAGGACACACTTTGAGAAAACCTGATAACAATATATATGGTGGGGAATGAGCATACTGTGAGCCCGACCTTTGCTCCATGTCAAAGGGGAAGGCAGAAACACAATCCAATAAATAAAGGAAGGAAAAAAAAAAAACACGGAGAAGAAAGCTAGAGAGTGAAGTTAAAAAGATGGATAGGATATAGGGAGAGCTGCATGTGATAGCGAAGGATAAAACGACTTGGCTTGAGTTGGTTGAGGGCCTATGCTCCATTTGAGTCTAAAAGGCAGAAAGATGGCGAAGAAGAGATCACACAAAAATAGTCCAACGAATTTCAAAGGACATTCTTCTTGATTGTCCCCTACGACCCGGTTTTTCTACTATTATGTTGTATTCTATCGTTGCTGGAACCATTGGATTCATTCTCATTAAATTATTAAATGGCCAAACCATTTCAGTCTTTGTTGTTCAATAAATTTAATTATAGGCGTTGATCCAATTTTTTTTTTTACTCTCACATGATCTCTCCTTTTTTTTTTTTTTTTTTTTTGGGTTGGTTGACGACCCTTTTCAAACATCTAATTTCGCAGTTGGTCAGTTTTCTTTCGTGTTCAAAGTCGGACACTGATAGCACAAGGTTGGTATGAAGACTGATTTACACGTTCGTCCTATTATGAGACCCAATGTTTCGTTATTTAAAAGCTCCATTCCGGCAGTTGTCCTAGACCCTAATAGTAAAATAATAGTTGAACGGGGTTTCTGGGACTTGCGCCCTGATGATTCTCATCCGAATTATGGTACATTGTGTCACCGGGTGTTTTTTCGCTCGTTGTGCATTCCTGGTGGGGTTGAAATTCATTTAAAGACTGATTTATAATTTGTCTTTTTATCTCTATTGGGCTAGCTGGATGTTTAAAATTTAGGGTCAGATGATACTTGACATTGTTGTCATCAAACGCAACCCACAATAATTACTCATCAGAAAACTCGTTTCGATATCCTCCTACACATATCGGTCATGAACCGCAGATTAGGAACCACATAGCTCAGGAATGGCTTAAATGGAACGCTGACAAGATAAGGAAACAAGACACCGCTGGAGATAACTACGACTGAAGCATGAATATCTACGTGTTTCATGTTGTGTAAACGTATTTTGTATACAGCATAGTCACTGTAAGCCACGCTTGTGCATTGGCTAGTGTGCTTGCTTGTCGAACCCGTTGTCATGTATTCGTATCCTTGCCGAAGCGGAGATCTGAAAGAGAATCAA